ATTTTTAATCGTGTCCAACTAATTTGTTTATCATCTTTTTTGCCTATAAATTGTTTTCGTAAAAGTTTTGCACAAGTCATTTTGTCAATTTCTTCTAAATTTTCTTCATTAATATCTGTTTGATTAATTATCTGTTTATCAATTGCTTGAAGATAATTAATAACTAATTTAATACCTGCTAAATAATGAATATTCATTTGATTCCATTCAATAAGAGGAATCTGATGTTTTTCAAGATTTTGCAAAATAATTATTTTCTCATATAGATTAATCATTTGTGGAGATGAATCAAGTTCGATATATATTGGTACATCAGCACAAACATTGATAGCCACTGATTCGTAACGAAAACTACGAAATAATATAACAGAATATAAGAATTCATTTAATTGGTTAATATCATTAATAATGCCAATATCAATATGAATAGCTATTTTTGATGATGATGATGATGATGATGAATTATTTGCACAATTACAAAAACGTGTCACCAAACTTTTCATATCGATATTACCACTAATCGGAAATTTGATGTATTCTTTACCAGAATTATGAATTATATTTCGGATAGTAGTCGACTTGCCAAGACCAGCAATATTTGATGTAACGAGAAAACAAGTTTTACCATTTAATTTCTCAATTTCTTCTTTGAGTTTAATTACATTTAACATTTGATAGTCAAAGATCTCTTGAACAAGTTCCAGAGCTTTCAAATTATTAATTAATAGTTGATTTATATTTGATGATGTAGTTATAATTCCAAATTGAAAATGATGTTCTGGTTGTTGCCAACTAATCATTTGAGTTAAAAGTTCAATAAACTTATCCTGAATCGATAATGTTAATAGTTCTGGTCGAATGAGTTGATGAAATTTTTCTGAATAGAAACAACGATAAACAAATGCACATACTTCCATCCAAGTTGTTCTATTTGTACAATAAAATAATTGATTAACTTTAGCTGGTACTTGAACAAATGTAAAGAGAGAAAGTATAGCACGCATAATACCTTCATCAGATGTTTGAACTAATAGTACTCTATTATTAGTCAGATATTTTTGTTCATTTGTTTCTATGATTTTAGTTTTTTGAGTTGACAATACTTGACCAACTTTCTTAAGACGATTTACTGGATCTTGATTCATATCAAGTAGAAAATCATATTGAATTAGTTCAGGTTGTATACCAATATACTTAAGTAAATGATAAGCATTATTGATGACTGTTGTTCGATTGTATAAATACTGCTCGATTATCCAAAATTGTTCATAAAAGAAATAGGTTAATGATATATGTTGTTTGTATAATTCACATAAATTATATTCCCATTCAACTCGTAATTTTTCAATTGTCTGTTCAAATTCAATCAATTCATTATATTTGCCTTCGATACATGTAAAAGTTTTGCTTGGTTCTAGAAGAGATTGAACACAAGGATAACCAATCATTTTAAGTTGTGTCAAGTTTTTGATTATATTTTCAATAGTATCAACAAAACTAACGAATGAATGAAGCATTTCAGTATCTTGTTCTGTATCATTTTGTATTTTAATTCTATGTGAATATTCGATAAGTCGTGCACGATCACGAAGATCACTAAGTTCATTGAAATTTATTGTAATGTCATAATTATAATTTAATCCATAAAGTTGTTTAAGTTCTTGTTGATCGTGACTTTTAAAACTGAATGATACATTTTTCATAATGTTTAAAATTTGTCGTCGTTTTGAAAGTCTTCGATCTGTCAAATTCATGTAAATATGTTGGATACTAGGCAATAATAAATGACAAGACTCGAAGCATTCAAATATTGTTTTCCATTGATCATCTTCCAATAAACGTTCAATACAAGCTGTAACCCTATCCAATGTAAGAATTGATGATGATTGTTCTTGAATCATTTTAATTCTACCACTAAGTTGATCTAGAAATGTTTTCAATGTGACTAAATCGAGAATTGTTTTTGTATTGATTAATGTTTCATCCCAACCGTTGACTGTTTCACGTAGATTATCGACATCGGATGCAGAAAGAGAATAAAGAAATTTTACTAGTTCTAAGGCTGAACCATAATAAGAAAATATTTCGTTTATTCTTCTTGAATAACGAACATAAATACGTTGATGAAAAGTTTGATATATGGTTAAGAAAGTTTTCCCATTGGTATTTTCATTCATTTGTAGTACATCAGTAAGCATAGTTTTACTATTGTCAAGTTGAATTTGAAATAGATCAAATAAATTTATGCATCCTTGACAAATATGATTGATATAATTCAAGTTCTTATTATAGTCAAATAATGTTGTGAAAAATTTAATAATATCAACATTAAAGTTATGTTTTAGGTAATCCAAATCATTGTGCATATTAGGAAACAGTTTAATTGATTGTGAAATCGGTAGAATTTCCCATTTCGAACAACTATGTATCAATCGATTGATAAATATATGAAATAGTTTTGTATCTGCTTGTAAGATTGAATAACAAGATTTTGGATAAGACAAGTGTATTTCATTATCTTGTTTTTCAGATTCAATACTTTTTACATTTATTTCTGTACTACTTGCAATAGCTTTATCTGACTTGTCTACAGATAAGATTGGATTAGCACTTGCTTGTGAGTACACTGAAACGATAAGATAACACAGTATATGCAACTGATACTTAACTAATGAATATTTAAAAAACTTACGTATTGGTTGATTTCGATAGGTTGTAAGAAAATTTTGCCAAATTTGGCATTTTGAGTATGGAATAATTTCTTTAGCACATTTAGCAAGTACTATGAACTCAGAAGGAATTTCAACAGAACAAACAGTATCTGTCATCAACTTTTTTTGTATGTTTTGAATCTGATTTACAAGATTGTCTTTATCATTTGCATTTTGACAATATTCTTCGATGCATGATAGAATTATGTTACAAATACTATTCTTAGTTTTGAATTCTTCATTGACTTCTTCAAGCATTAGTTCAAACGAGTGTGGTTTTTGTTTTGATACTTGTATCAAGTTCCACATATGATTGGCTATTTCTCGTTGTTCAGTATTTTGCTTTTTCCAAGCCATAATATGATGCGCATATAATCCAATTTCTTTCCAAGATGTCCACATAATGTCCATTTCTTGAATAACTTTCTCATAAATGGATAATTTTCGAAAACAATCTTTGAATAAAATCGAATAAATGAATGTTGATTTCATAGGTCGTGTGAATGTATCTTCAAAAATATCTTTTTCGGTAATAGTAATTTTTGCTAATGTTAGTTCAATTAAATCGTGAATAATTTGACTTTCATCTTTGTAATTGTTATTGATTTCAATTAATTTTCGCAACGGATTATCATACGAATTCATGCGTTTTAAATCATCAGATGTCGAATTACTTAAAACTACTTGCACAAATTTGACTTTGAATTGATCAATAAAGATTTGATTTTTCACAAATATGAATCCGGTTTCAAGCATAGGAAATGGCGAGTCTGTACGATAAAGAACATAATAATCTTACGACTAATTTTCGTGAACAATCTTAGCATGATTATTTGAATTGCTCACATATTCAATTTTTTCTTATGCACATCTTATCTACATAGCAATCGTAGAAACTATTCTTGAATGAATTTTTTCGAGGAAATTTTAACTAAATATTGTCGGCTTACTATAATGACTTACGTTCAAACGATATCAGAATGCTTGCCAACAATTGTTTGACATCAAAATTAAATCTGTGTCTACGAATTAATCATCAATAGATCGTTTTATCCATCTTTATGCAAACGAAAATGTTCGTATGTGTTCAAGAGATATTCAATATGAAGTAACGACTATCAAAATCTGAGAAATCATAACTAAGTTTGATCTCAATATTTGACACATGATTAGAATGTATTATGATGAAACAAAACAGCCATAGTACGGAAGTGTCCGACATGGGTCACTTTTTTTGTGACCCGACCCGACCCGAGCTCAAAAATTTTTTTCGTAACCCGACCCGACCTGACCCGAGGTCAAGTATGTTTTTCGTGACCCGACCTGTGTCGGACACTGGTAGGGAAAAAATGATTAAACATGAGGAACAATATGAACAGATATTTTACCTTGTTTGAAGCAAATATCAATCATATGATGAACAAATAGTTCACGACATTTTTCTTGATTACTGCCTGTTTGTGCCGACATAAAAGGTTCCAGTAATGCATCAATTTTTATCATCATCACATGAAGTTTCGATTGATCATGTTCAAAATAAGATGTCCATACTTTGATGAGATTTTGATATTCTTGTCGCTCATTATCATCATTCATTGAGAAGTTATCATTAGTCATAAAATATAAAAACCATTCTATATAAAAATGAGAAGATTGAGAACTATCGTATTCCAGTAAGTTTAATAGAAAATGTTGACGATCGAAGTCTCGTAGAAGTGATGAATGAGGTACAAAATTAAGAATTGTTCTCAAACTTTCGAGATGATCAGTAATTTCTCCTAGATTGTACAAGTAATCATGAATTTTATTTTTCACTTGAGTATTAGTTCGTATTTCTAAACTAATAATTTCTTCTAAATCATTTGTGCATTGATCATTCGTTGTCAATGGACGTTCCACCAATTGGAGTAAAAAAATTATACTTTTGAGATCCACTACAATAGATAAGAATAATTATTTCCTTTTAGTAAATCAAATTAGTCACAAAAAATAATTATCACACGATCATGAATTTATATACTATCTATACAACCTTAGTATTCAGTTTGCTAGCTCTTGCAATAATTTATAAATCGTAAATAATAAATTTATGATGTTTCCTACTAGAGAGTTAGTATATGTGTAAATCTATTCACTATCATTATTTTAGCTCAATTA